GGGAACAGTGGGTCTCCGCCATGTTTGGTTGGCAGCGAAGGAAATATAATCAGCAATGTGGAAATGAAGCCATTTGCCTAGAGAACCCAATTCCAGGTTCTGAGTAGCAATTTAAGAGTAGCAAATCTCTGTAAGCTGCTGTTAGCAAAAGGGAAGGGTAGGAGGGTCATCAAAGGTCATCAAGTCAGGAGATCAGGAAGGGGCCTGAATTAGAAATTGGAAAAGCATGCTGATACAGTAGCTGCTAGCTGAAAGTGACTATTTAAATCAATTAAAATTAAAATTTGCATTAGGAAAAAATGCAGGCCATGTTCAGTGGCTTTTCACTATACATATACTACATTCTTCTCTGTCTGCTTGTAGGTGTGGTCACCTTGGTCCTCAGAACACAACACTACAGTTTGTATGGTGTAGTCTAGCTACGTATATTTTACATTCATATTCTCTCTCCTCCTCCTCCTCTTCCTCCTTTCTCTCTCTCTGTCTCTGTCTCTGTCTCTGTCTCTGTCTCTGTCTCTCTCTCTCTCTCTCTCTCTCTCTCTCTCTCTCTATTTCTCTGTCTCTCGGGATAGAGTCTATGTATCTAAGACCGTCCTCAAACTCATTATGTGGCCACAGATGACCTTGAACTCCAAAACCTCCTGCCTCCACCCCCTTAGCTGGGCTGACATATATGTAGCGCCCTGCCCAGTTTATGCACTGCTGAGTATTGAACCAGAGTTTCACAAACGCTAGGCAAGCACTCTAGCAACTAAAGTCCACTCCTGTATTCCTGTGTCCCTTTTATCAGCTTCATTAAAAAAAAAATGATATCTGTATCTGTCTGTCTGACTGTCTTATCTACCTACTTTCCCACGTACCTACACCCAGTTTTTATTTGATAATTGGACTAGCTGTAGTATAGTTAGATAGCGGCAGATAGAGCCACCAATGAACAGAAAGGAACATATGGGAATATACTCCTGGTATGTTAGTTAGAATTTTCCAGAGAAACAGACCCAATAGGAGAGAGTTACAAGCATTGGGATGTATGTGTGTAGGTAGGCAGTAGGTATGTCCTGCTCTGTGAAGGTATGAGTGTGAAAAAGTGTATATGCACACACACACACACACACATACATGCACATGCGTGCACACATGTACACACACGCATAACACAGGCACACACCCCCCCTGCACACTGTATATTCCAGCGAGCATCTGAAGGTCTGAGAAGCAGCAGTGCAGAAAGCATAAGAAGATTAATGTCTCAGGTCACACAGTCAGCCAGAGAGAGATTTCTGCCTTCTTCCCTCCTTTTCTTTACCCTGGCTGGGCTTGGATGATGCCCATCCACACCGGGAAAGACAATTTTCTTTATTTAATCCACAGATTCAAATGTTAATCTCTTCCAGAAACACAGTCACAGACACACTCAGAAATGTTAACAGCTGCCTGGGCATCCTATGGCTCAGCCAAACTGACACATGAAATTAGCCATCACATTTGGCTGTTTGGATGCTAAGAGAGTCAGCATTGCAGTGCTTGGGGGGGGGGGGGGGGGGGGGGGGGGGGGGGGGGGGGGGGCGGGGGGGGGGGATGAGATGGGGGGTGGCGGGGGGTATTATTGTAAGCTTCCTAGTAAGACAAACTCTAAATCCTATCAGTGTGGAAACCATCCATGTTCTGTTTGCTCCATGTTGAGACTGGTCTTTGGAGCTGAGCACTGTAGAATTAAGGACAGCAGACGTCTGTACTGACGTGGTTACTCTATTAAATACTCCTGAGGTTGGGAGTGTAGCTCAGCGATAGAGTATTTGTCTAGTCCGTAGGAGGCCTGGGTTCTATGCCTAGTACTACAGAAAGAAAGAAGGAAGGAATGGAAGGGGAGATGAAGGGAAGGATGAAAGGAAGGGAAAAGAGAGGTCTCCAAGGAAGTGATAGTGAAGTGCTTGCACATTGCTTTATTAAATAAATGCATGGAGTTTTTAAAATATTTTTAAGTAACATTGAAATACTTGAGCAATAATAGGATTGGATTTTACCTCCTACCCTTATAGACAGAAAACCTGTCAAATGTGCAGTTAGGATTAATGTGAAAAGAGGCCATGAATTTGATGGAGAGCAGGGAGGGTCTATGGGAGGGTTTGGAGGAGAAAAGGGGAAGGAGAAACGTATTTACATTATAATCTCAAAATAAAACATGGAGTTAGCTTTTCTAGTCTTTATAACAAAAGACCTGACATGAATAACTGAAGCAAAAGATGTGCTCCACTTCAGACCTCAGTAGTTTAATTCAGCCCATCGTGGTAGGGAGGCCATGAGGAAACAGAGCAAGTCCCATCACGGATGCAGGGCAGTGTTAGGGTCCTGGAGAAGTCCCACAAAAGACCACCGTCCACTTATGCAATCAACAAGAACGTTTATTATACCAGCATGCATGTGGGGTTGTTCACCTGTACAAAATGGCGACCCCGAGAGGGACGTGCAGGCTCCTTTTAAGCACAGCTAAGGGGAGCTCCTAGGACAGTTAGGTCATTTTATCTACGATTGGCTTAGGGGAGTGGCAATTATGTTACTACATTCCTAATTGGCTAAGGTTGGCAGGGCCTGGCTAAGGCTATAGCTTTTCCATTTGGGGGCAGGCCTGGACAAGTCCCAGGCTTTGTCCTGATTTGGTTATTACCTTGAGCTGCTGTGGGGGGCTGGCTCAGGCCTAGTACACCTTGAGCTGCTGTCAGGGGCGTTAAAGATTGATTGTCCTTTGTTTGTGGCTTCCTCAGAAATGGCCTGCTCAGTTTCAGGAACTGAGGCCTAATTCTTAACTCAGTTATTTGGAGCCTGTCATGATATTTGCCTGGCCTCTTCATGTAGCAGAAAGGGAATGCCTATGCTCACAGGCTCTTTTTTTAACCTTCATCCTATGTGGACAACCCCCTACATTCCCATCCGCCCACCACCACCACCCAGCTCCTCACCTCATCACCTATAGATGGTGCCACCCACATTCAGGAATGATCCCCTCCCCAGCCTAACCCATACTCTCTGGAAGCACACTCACCCATGTATAGTCTTGTTTTTACTAATCTCCTGGGTGTTTAACCATCAAAGGCCCATCTCTTGTTTACTGGACACCCAAAGCCTCTCCTTAGGCCACTGTAGTAGGTAGAGCAATGAAAATAAAAGATAAAAAACCTTACCCACATCCACATATTGAAGAACAAATCTTAAGGTCACTGGGGACAGACTACATTGCACTCAGGGGAACAAATCCATTTTGACGCCTGACAATGTCTGCGCTCACTCCTCGTCCCACTTTTACACAGCTCGAAATGTCATCCTTTTATGAATATTAACAATAATAGCTCCTTTCTGTTAGAGCCACACCATTTTGTAGACTTCTCCATCCCGGCTGATGACAGTTCATCAGTGATACAGTGGTGGACCTCAGGCAGTGGCCCGCCCGGAAAGATGTTTATTGATTGCCTACCATTCTTTAACTGTGCTTAGCTTCTGGAACCCCGACTAGGGATGGACAGGAAATGAAGAAAGGGGACACACACACACACACACACCACACACCACACACACCACACACCACACACACACACACACACATCACACCATACACACATACACACACATATATCACACACACCCCACACCACACACACACACACACACACACCCCACACACACATATCACACACATTCCACACCATACACACACACACACACACACACTGAAGCTGGGCTCAGCTATCGGTAACCTCAGCCTGTTGATTAGGTACAGCATGGGAGAAGGTATTAGCCAATCTTGGTGCTAGGTCTCTGTAGGTGAGTAATCTCGGGCTGTAGACATACATCCCGGAGGAGGAAGTCATTAGTCTTTGCAAACACTGATCAATCATCCATAAACACTCAGACTCCCAAGGAAAGCATTGCCAATTCTCCTGAGCCCCACCCATCTAGGCAATGGCTTTGCCAATTTACCATGGGCTAATTGGTCTCTGAGGCTTCCACAGGCGGTGCCCATGTTAAAATATACATTTGCTCAAGACTCCACTCACCCAAGGCTTCCTTTTTTACCCACCCCCCACACTCTTTAGTTACCCATAACAATGGCCAAATATGGGAAACTTCCTTTCTCACCCCCCTTCCCGCCTGTAACTACCCCATCTGATGGCTGGCTCTGATTCTCGGGGAGACCCATTTCACTGTGCAGGATCCATTCCCACCCCAAAATGAAGGCCTGCACCATCTTAAGTTACTCGATCCCTTGTATCTCATTCCTCTTACCGTAATACAGTACGAGCCCTTCTAGAAGTTTTGAGTGTGTTGAAAGCCTTGCAGTTTCAACCCAATAAATAGAGGAAGTAGGACTGACACCCAGATCCTCTTGAGAATGACACAGCAACACTAAAAGCCTGCTAACCAAGAATTAATTCCTCTGGTCGAAAAGATTAAATCCCTTTCCTGGATGAAAGTCAAGCATTCAAAGCTAGCCAACATTTAAACAATTTAATCCAATGGGGCTAGTCAATCACCTGGCTAGGGGACCACCTCTTACAAAGGGAGGGCCACCCTTAAGAAGGTCGGTTTACCTTTAGCCATGCTAAGAAACAGGTGGGGTAATTATTCCTTTAATGAGATAATGTACTTTTCCTTCCCAGAATTCTAGCTTCCTGGCACCGTCCCTAAGTGCCTCCATGAGGTTCAGCAAGGTCTGCCTGGTTTTTTTGTTTGTTTGTTTTTGTTTTTTGTTTTGTTTGTTTGTTTGTTTGTTTTGAGTCCTGTCTCAGAAAGACATAATTATGTCTTTCTTCTTCTTCTTCTTCTCCTTCTTCTTCTTCTTCTTCTTCTCCTCCTCCTCCTCCTCCTCCTCCTCCTCCCCCTCCCCCTCCTCCTC